TGGAATTACTGAAATCAATCTACTTTTTCATGATATTCTAATTTTATGACCAGCACCTGTAGACAGACTACAGCATAGGCATTGGCCTAGGTTTTAAGTCAAACATTAATTTAAATAAAGTAGAATAAAGCGAACTGCAGTGGAGTGAAATCCTCGCTCTGGCCTTTGAATTAAAAACCGCAATGTGCTCCACCATGCTGGCCTTAAGTAAACACATCTGACGTAAACACCACACTCTCATGCTCTGGTTCAGGCACGGTTCTCTGATAACACAGAGTGCATGAGCAGAACACGTCATCTCCTATTTACAGTCAGCTGACTCAATTCACAGATCTCTTCACCTGTTAACAACGCAAACTTCTTCTCAACCTATTAACAATAAACGGCATCAAAAAAGCGTGGTAAACCAGGGAGGATGCAGAGATCGAGGCTCTCGTTGGCTGAGGACGCTATCCAGACACATAAGTACCTATATACAGTATAGTACCTATATATATATGCATATAAAAAAAAAAAATAAAAAAAAAATCACATTTCTTAAAATGGTGTCCTTGAGAGGCCTATTTTAAATTTGTGTTTGTGATTGAGCAGCTCCGCTTGCTGTGGCCTGCAGTCACACATACAGTTACCTAAGAACGAATTTAAAGTGTTTTTTTTTATCATAAGTTTTATCGTTATGATGGTAGAACCATAAAACATTGTGATAACTGATGAACAACATAACTAATTTTTCTGTGAGTATTTGGTTGATTTTTTTATTGTTGTTTGTCAAATTTTCTGTCTAAAATTTATTCCTATTCTATCATTTCTTCATACAAAAGGCCATATTTCCCAGCCCTACTTTCCAGTAAATGTATAGTTATCAAAGATGTGAAGTAAAGCTGATTAGCTGTTTTTCATCAGATATAATTCCATTTTTGTTTAGGTTTTTTTACTGTAACATCTGACAATCAAGTGTTCATATTTGCATTAATATTCCCCCTCATCTACTCACCTCATCAAATATCTCCAAATAGAAGGAATCCACCCCTGGAGGCACCGTACACTGGATCACTTTGTTCCAGCGGGGGTTCTTTGCTCCGTTATGAGCAGTTGGGGTCTCATAGACTGCGTAGCCTAATCGAATCCTGCAGTATGGATCCATCCGTGTCATCCCGTAGTTTTTAGCCAGCTTGGCCTGCACAGAAAATACAAACAAAATCACATCCAACATGTCAGTGTTAGGAAGGAGGCTACTAAAGATGGCTGCTGTAATTCTTTAACAAAACATGTAAAACACCAAGTTTATTTAGAAGATAGTGGAACGTTACGCAATATTTGATCATTCTCAGGCTTGATAAATGCAAAGCTTCTTTTTAAAGAAGTTTGAATAATAATTGTATTGTTAAGACTTTTAAACAGTGGCTCTCATCTGAATTTGGTACCTGGACGACAGTAATGCTGAGCCGCCCAACGGTGTTGACCGAGCCTCCGTACTGCAGCTGGCGAGCCGTCTGGGCGTCCAGCTGGACCTGCTGCTGCTGATGAGTGGGAGTGATCCGCAGGAAGTCCTGCGGTAGCTCTCCAATATACACCTACAGAAAACACAACCACAACTTTATTCTTTTAGACGGAAACTTTGGTGAGAAAGTGACAAATGTTTTACTTAACAAAAAACACCTTCTCCCATATGAAGCCTTAAATACAAAAATAAACCATCTGGTATCAGGGATTTGATCATTCTTAACACAGCACTTCGCTCTCAATCTACAGGTTTACTAGTGGATCCTAGAATTTCTAAAAGTAGAATGGGAGGCAAATCTATTAGTGAGCATGCTCCTCTCCTGTGGAACCAACCAGCAGTTGTCTATGGGACAGAAACCCCGTCTACTTTTAAGGCAAAGCTAATAGTGGTTCAGGTTATTGTGAGCTATCTTGATAGTTATGCTGTTATAGGGTTAGACTGCTGGAAGACACAGGGACCACCTCTTCTCTCTTCTCTCTCTGCATCATTTAATTGACATTCTCCAATTCTGCATTATTTCTTTATTTAACACCACATTTAGAATTGAAAAAGCTTCTTCGATGGGAAGCAAATTGCTTCAAAACTTGGAAACAAAGTCCAGTGGATTGTTTTTTATTTTATTTTTGGAAAAAAAAAAAAACTTCCACATCAATGTTTGACATTATTTTGAACCCCA